CCGCCCGCAAATAACCCGTCGCTGCCCCGAACGTCAAGGAAGGGGACACTCCTCTCTGTACAAACGCCAAAAGGGTCCACATCTTTTATTTACATTCGGAAACTCTGCCATGTACACGGCGGTTGCAAGTGTTAAAACAAAAAGGGTGTAAGGCGGAGAGAGCCACCCCCTCCGAAAAAGAAAAAAACCAAGAAACCCAACCAGAAACCACCACCCCCCCAAATGAAAATTAAGTTCGGGGGGGGGAGCAGTTCAATGTGAGGCCCGCACCGAAACCCCAGCGTCTGCCCAGGCCAAGAACTCCGGATAGAGGTTCCAGTTTTCAAAAAGCGGACGTTCTCTGCACTCGCCCTCACGCAGGGATCATATTCCTCACCCCCCATCTTTTTCGGAAGAGAGCACAGTCGCAAACAAGCTGTCCCTTTTTATTTTGACACTTGGCAAAATCAAGAGGGTGTTTTCCCAGCTGCTTTCTCCGCCTCAGTGCATAGTGGGGAGCGGATGCTTGTTAACACGTATGGATTTATCAAAATGTAAAAAAAAAAAAAGCCACTTTCCTCCCAGTTGTTCCTTCCCTCTTCTAGAAGTTTAAAAATATATATATTATTCAATTTTGATTGATACAAATTCAGCGTTCCCTCCAAAGAACTCGCCAAGCTTTAACCAAAAAAATAAAACAAATAAAATCCATATCTAGGCTATTCCTCTCCCCATGCCTTTTTTTCTTGGGCTGTCATCTAGTCTTTCTCTCACACACACAGGGGGCACTCGACCCCTAAGAGAACATATTGGGGGGCGGGGGGAGGTATCAACTAGAACAGACAAAAAACCTTTGCAACTGGGAAACACGTAAACAAACCCAGAAAAGAAAAGAAAACCACCTTTGCTTTCTTGTCTATTTACAAGTGAACTCCACTGCAACAAGAGAAGGACGGGGAGCAAGGTGGAGGGGGGGGGAGAGAATCAGAATGGAAAAAAAAGGTTCTCTATCCCTCATCTCTGCCCTTCTCTCTCCGCCACTGCCCCTACACGCACCCTTTGCTGCGTCCTAGCATATGAAACAAGAACCGTCCAGATGTTTTGTTTCTCAAACACACACGTACATACATAATGTCCCACGCGTTGATTTCCACCTCCTTTTGCAGATCTTGGGAGGTGGGCTCGGACTGAACCCCACGAGCAGGGGAGTGGGTCTGGGGGTGAGGAGCTTGTTAATTGCTGGCCAGAATTTACTGATTTCTCCAGGGGAAGTTTGCTTCTTTTAGCTTTGCAACGGTCGCCACCATGAATTCCCTGGAGAGCCTCTTTTCTTTTCTTTTTTGTCTTGTCTCCCAGGGATCAAAGAAAGAGG